AGCCGAAATGTCCGCAGTCGACTTACAGGACGAATTAGAAAGGTAGGTGGGCACCATGCCATAGCTATGATTGGTTTTCTGAATATCGCAGGAACTTTAAGAGAGAAGGCAGCAAGAAACGAGGCGGAAGCTGCTAGGAGAGCGCTTGACGGTGAATTAAGAGAAGAAAGGGAGGCAGCAGCTGAGCGATTACGAAAAGTCGAAGAGTTTGCTCAGATGATAAGTCGTAAAGATGCTGAACTGGTGCAAATCAAACTTAGGTGACACTTTCAAGTATTTGTTAGTCATCACACATATGACTAGTATTTTCCCTCATACCATGTTTTTTTCATTGTGATATATTTTTAGAAACGACGAAGAAGCAGCTACACGCCAACAGCTGGAAAAGTCTTTACGTGAGTTGCAGTCTCAGCTGGATGACGCTATGGAGGACCTGAAGCAGGAGCATGCGTTACGGTAGAAACGTTCCACCTTTGCTATTTCTATTCTTTAAAGACCACCTGAATGGCAACATACGGTCGTGGTCCCTGCAAACGATATGGCGTGTGACGCGGAGCGCAGCCATGGCGCTTTATCAACCAGCATTGGCATCCTTAGCCCACTGCAGCTGGCTGGACATTTGTTCTTACTGTGTACTGAGCCATGCCCCCGTCAGAAGCCCTATCGTAATCAAATTTATAACTGATAATCGCAAGAGACGCAGATAGTTAGCATGAATGAGGCAGACATTGTGTGCATAAAGGAAGAAACCGGATGGTGTGAAATGGATCAGCGGTTCCGACAATAGGTGGGAAAACTAGTGAGGCGGCGTCTCCATGAATTTATGTACAATCAGGAACAGATGAACGACTGATAAGTAGATTGATTTCGAGAGGATATCACAGATGATTTGATGAAAGAAATAATGAAAGTTGAAATAAAAGCACATAGTACACACTGAGCATGAGAGATCGATTACGAGGGGAAGAAGTCTTCAGACATTCGACTGCACACCCACAGCCGGATATCTTCTTCGATATGGTTCATTAATATCGGACTGAGGTGCTTGGTTCAGTCCGTCGTAGTTGATGGTGATTTCGGAATTAATTTGGAATTTCTGCGGAATAGGATTGCCATCTGGACTACGTTCGTTCGTAGGAGTCATGACTAATTCGGAAGCAATACGACTGAATGGGTCAAGAATCAGAGATAGGAAACCGTTATAGGAAACGCTTTGAGCCACAGGAACTTCACAACCGGAGTCGTGAGGGAGGGCCTATATTCCTCTTGCGAGGGAGTAGATCGTATTGAGGGAAAACTTGCCATCGCCATAGCGGGCACTGTTTCGGAATAATTGCTCATGGGTAAATATGGTATTCAAAAAAGGATGAAGGATAAAGTCTTCGCGTTGATCAGTCTATGCGGCACTCCGCTTCCAATCAGAATCGTGGTGGCTCGTTGAATGCGATGAGGCCCA